CATGAAATCCAGAGCAGCTCCCAACAGTTTGGGTTGCTTCACCATACAGTGTAAAAGAAACACACAAGGGGATGGGACTGTGGCTCAGAGGTAGAGCTTTCCTCTAGCACGGGCGGGACCCGGGTTCGATTCTCAGCACCACATAAAAAATAAATAAAGGCATTGTGTTGTGTCCATCTACAAAAAAGATATTCTCTCTCTCTCTCTCTCTCTCAAAAAAAAAAAAGAAACAAAAATACTTACATATCTTACTATATTTGTATATATGTATGTTTATACACAAACATATGCACATATACACACACGTATATATACACACACAAACACAAATAAAAAATGTATTTATAATGAAATATAAATGGCATATAAATATATATATAAATAAGCATAAAAATTCATAAATGTATAATACATATAAACATAACTAAGGGAACCACAATCTCACACATACTTGAACTTATATTTGTACCAGTTGCCAATGAGTCCTATCATCTACTAATGACAACAATGGAAACAGAAATCTCCAAGATGACCATTGGCTAATAGCAAGCATCAGGGCTCTGGGGGGCAGGGGTCTTGTTTTTTGTTTTGTTTGTTTGTTTTTGGTATCAGGGATTGAACTCAGGAGCACTCACCCACTGAGCCACATCCCCAGCCCTATTTTATATTTTAGAGATACCATCTCACTGAATTGCTAAGTGCCTTGTTTTTGCTGAGGTTGGCTTTGAACTCTGGATCCTCCTGCCTCAGCCTCCCAAGCAGCTGGGACTATAGGGATGCACCACTGCACCCAGCTAAGGGCTGTACTTTTTAACCAGGCCAAAACCAAGTGCCATACTATCAAGGGGGGACTTGGTCTCTTTTACCAAAATTGTCCATCAGGCCAAAAGCTCTTCTTTTTATGGTTTTTTTTTGTTTTGTTTTTAATTTCTTATAGTGCTGGGGATCAAACCCAGAGCCTCAGTAGGACTCTAATCAATGGAGAAATGCAAATTAAAACCATAAAATATCACCTCGACTAAGTTAGAATAGCTTTTATTTAAAAATATGAACAAAATCAAGTGTTGGCAAGGAGGTAGACAATGGAATTCTTGTATGTTGTTAATGAGGATGTAAAATACTATAGTCATGGCAGAAAATGGTATGGAGGATCCTCACATCATCCATCAATCCCACTACTCAGTATATAAAAGAAACTAAAACCATATGTCAAAGAGATATCTGCATCACTATGTTCCCCACAGTGTTCCCACAGTGTTATTCACAGTAGCCAAGATAAAGAATCAACCTAGGTATCCATCAGAGGATAAATGGTTAAAAAAATGGAGTGTGTATACACATGGAAAAATATACAGCATTAAAATGGGGAGGAGGAAGACCTGTAATTTTTGACAACATGGATGATTCTGGAGAACATTATACTAAGGGAAATAAGCCAGGCACAAAAAGACAAATACCACCTTATCTCACATGCTGAATATAAAGTTGAACTTAAAGAAGTAAAGCATATGGTGGTCACCAGGGACTGGGGAAGGGAATAGAGAAAGAGAAAATGGAGAGTTGTTTATTGTAGGGTACAAAGCTTCCAATACATAAGAAGAATTGATTTCAGGTCTATTCTGGGTAACTATAGTAAATATATTGTATATTTCAAAATAAAGGAGAAAATTTCAACTGTCTCACCATTTAAAATGAAAGGTAGTGGTTGTGGCTCAGTGGTAGAGTGCTTGCCTAGCATGTTGTGAGGCCTTGGGTTCAACTCTCAGCCACACATGTAAATAAATAAAGGTCAATCAACAACTAAAACATATTTTTAAAAAAACTTTTAAAAACTGAAAGGTAATCAATGGGATAGTTAATTATGTTGATTTAATCATTCCACATTGTATGCATACACACACACACACACACACCATTATACCCCACAGATATACACAATTATGATTTGTCAATCAAAAACAGTAATAAAACCCAATACTATACATAACCACAAGGTTCTAATAAAAAATTTTTAAAAATAAAACAGTATTAACAATAATAATATTATAAAAGTTATTGGTGTTGATTGGGATTAGTTTAGCAGTAATAATTACAATTTATAGATATCCATGCTTTTTGGCCTAGTAATTTCACTTTTAGCACCTTCAGAAGGGTTTACAAGTGAAGGTCTGGGAACATAGCTGTGACAGAGCACTTTCCTAGCACAAACAAGGCCCTGGGTTTGTAAAAAAAAAAGTATTATTATTATTTATTAATGAATTAAAAAGGAATATTTATAAACATGCACAAAAATGTATCTACATTTTTAAGTATTAGAAAAAATGCCCTACTTACCAATATGAAAATGGAAAAACAAATTACAGGATATCTATGGACTCAAATGCAACATTTTAAAAGGATACTCTCAATCTATATGAGGACTTAGAAAATTTTCTCCAAGACATTGTTAGGTGAAAAAAAGCAATGAGTAGAATTGCACAATATAATTTCTGTCTTTATTTTGTAATTTTTTGTTTTCGAGGATTGAATGCAGGGCTTTACATAAGCACTCTACCACTGAGCTACATCCCCTTTTTTGTTTGTTTGTTTCTTGAGGCAAGCTCTCACTGAGTTGCTGAGGCTGATCTTGAACTTGTGATCCTCCTGCCTCTGAAGTAACTGGGATTACAGCATGTGTTACCACACTCCACTTGCAAAAAACATTTATATCTGCTGAGCATGGTAGTAGCACCTGTAATTCCAGATACTCAAGGCTAAAGCAGGAGGATCACATGTTCAAGGCCAACCTGGGCAATTTAATAAGATCCTGTCTCAAAATAACAAATAAAAGATGTGGCTAGGGAAGTAACTCAGTAGTAAAGCACATCTGGGGTCAATTCCCAGTTCCAAATATATACACATCATATATATATTCCATATGTATGTATACATATGTGTGCACACACATTTTATGCAAATGCATAGAGAAGGACCTAGATTACACACCTTGTACTAGAATAGTGTCCCCAAGAAATCCAGGTCCACTTGTAGCCTCAGAATGTGAACTTGTTTGGAAAGAGGGTCTATGCAGATGTAATTAAGTCAAAATGAGGCCCTAGTAGATTAGGTGGGTCCTCATTTCAATGACTGGCATCTTTATAAGAAAGCCATGTCAAGATGAAGGCAGCAACTGAATTAAAACACCTACAAACCAATAAATGGCAAGAATTACTGGCAACCACCAGAAATTATGGAGGAGGCATAGAACAGGTTCTCCTTCTAAGCCTCAAGGGGTCAATCTTGTGGACACCTTGATTTGAGATTCTAACCTCCTGAACTATGAGACAATAAATTTCCATTGTTTCAAGCAATTCAGTTTATGCTAATTTGCTAGGGCCACCATAAGAAACTAATATACACCTGATTAATAATGGTTAGTTCTGAAAAGGGGATTCATTGAAGATTTTACAATGAATACTTATGCTTGCATGGCTAATCTTTTTAAGGAAAAAAAATAAAAATGATTTTAAAAGTTACCCATGTTTGGGCTGGGATTGTGGCTCAGTGGTAGAGCCTAGCATGTATAAGGCACTGCCTTTGATTCTCAACACTACATATAAATTAATAAATATATAAAATAAAGGTCCATCAACAACTAAAATATATATATATTTTTTATAAATCACCCAGGGGGTGGGGATGTGGCTCAAGCAGTAAGCTCGCCTCACACGCATGCGGCCCGAGTTCGATCCTCAGCACCACATACAAAGATATTGTGTCTGCCGAAAACTAAAAAATAAACATTAAAAAATTCTCTCTCTCTCTCTAAAAAAAAATAAATAAATCTGTACTTTCTCAAATATTGTGATAAATACACATTAAGTATAGAAAACATTACTGAATATTTCTAGAGGGAATGTAAGAAACACACACCATGTTTTAAAAAAATAAAATAAATAAAAATCACCCATATTTTATGTTTAAGTTTCAAATCTGCCACTTATCATGTATGAAATCTTAAACAAGTCAGTAGGCATGTGAACATCTCAATTGATTCATCATTAAAATCAGTATGTTAACACCCACCCTGCTCACGTTACTGGTTGATATTGGACTCTCTGGATTTCTCCTATCACCCACATCCATTTTCCTCCAAAATGGCTCCAGGGACTCTGAAAGTCTTTCCACTTCCACTATCATACCTTTATCTAATCCACATCACCAGCCACTATAAAGATTAATTAACAGAACACAACTAATGATTATTCTTTTTTAGCCACTTCAATTCATTTCCTTTCAAATTTGAAACAAATTTCTTAGCTAGTTTGAGCCTCCCACATCCTGAGCTTCACCTCCCTTCCCATAACCACTTTTTCCTTTGTGTAGGGAATCCAGGTTTGTGGATTTTCTCAAACCTTTCAAGCCACTGAGTATGTTTTCCCTACAAATGGATTGTTCTTCAACCCAACCTCTTTCCAATCTGAAGTCTTCTCCGAAGGCCTCACAATAGAAGTGATTAACTATCCTTTGAATTCCTATAGCACAAACCTTCAGTATCCTATGATTAAGCTGCAAACTCCTTTTGATGGAAAGAATGTTATTGTGTCTGGTACATTATCTGATGGAGAACAGGTGATCAATACATATTTTCCAATTAAATGAGTAACAAATTATAAATGGAACTGATATTCAGCCAGTACAAACAAGTATGGTCCCAATAGTTGTAAAATATTGAAATATTGACTCCCCTCCGATTGTCTCTTGCTATCCAAATACCTTCCACTACTAGTGTTTTCTTCCATGGGAATTACTTGGACTCCCTCAACTAAATACAATCCTCCAACTGGAGGGTTAATGTCTTTCAAAGTAAGTAACACTGATAACCCTTATCTAGCCATGTGGCCAGGATCTACAGATAAAAGTACACATTTTGATTCTGACCTGTGCAGTATCATTGTTAACTAGTATGATAATTGGGCTAGTATGTTTTCTGTTGCTATAACAAAATACATGAGGCTGAGTACTTTATAAAGACATTTATTTAGCTCACATTCTGGTGACTGGAAGGTCTTATCAGCATGATGCCAACAAGCTGGCAATCAGAATATGTTTGAGAAGTGAAAGGAAACCATCATCATGAAGAAGAGGAAAAACAATGAACATACTTACCTCCCACCAGGCCCCACCCCCTTAAAAAGTTTCCACCACCTCAACACTGCCATGTTTGGCCAAGTCTCCAGCACAAGAACCTTTGAAAGACAAACCAGATCCAAAACATAATCCCCACCTGATTATAAATAACATGTAACTATACAGTTGGAAAGTTTTTCATTGTAAAATCTTGTACAAGAGTCAATAGATCCAAGAATAGGAAAGGAAAATGATAGTCTGTCAATCTCTGAAGATATAGAATAAATATCCATTAGGACTCAGTCTTCATGTAAACCAGAAGATATGCTGTTTCCTGCCTAGAAAGATGAGAAAATTCATCAGCATAGCAAAATGAACCACTGATAGTGAAATGATATTATTATTTCATGATAGGACAAGCATTATCAAACTTCCAGGCTGTTGAATCAAACCTTCATCTATCCATCATCTACTCAGTCTCATCTACTCAGCCTCATGTATTTTGTTATAGCAACAGAAAACAACTCTTCAGAGAGAAACAAAATCGTGACTTGGTGGGAAATAACCACTAATATGCTACTAGTTAATATCTAAATCATATGTTGACAAATTATGGGACCATGAGCCTTAACTAACCCTGTTTTTTGCAAATAAATGTAAGTGGAGAATAGCCAATTAAATTAATTCATTTTTTTAATATTTATTTGTTAGTTCTTGGCAGACACAACATCTTTGTATGTAGTGCTGAGGATCGAACCCGGGCCGCACGCATGCCAGACGAGCGCACTGCCACTTGAGCCACATCCCCAGCCCTAAATAAATTCATTCATGTACAGTCTGTGTCCTCTTTTATGCTAAAATGACAGAGTTGGGTACTTGAAACAGAGACTATGGTCCATAAAACCTAAAATATTTTCTCTCTGGTCCTTTACAGAGTTAAGTCTGACAATCCCTAATCTAAATCATGGATCAATCAATAACTACTACAAAGACTGGTCATGTAAGAAAGATAGCTTAGAAGAAATAGAAGAGAAATATGAAAAAGTAGAAGTCTAAGAAAGGCTTCAAACACAAATTACACCTAATTTGTTACTTTCAAATAATAGAACCTATCTCTGCAACTGAAAATCATCTTTAATATCATCTTTGGCATACACTGTCACTCCTAATACAGAAACTCAGCCAGAAAAACTTACAAAGTCTCTCTGTTTTAACTTGATAAAGTTAAAGCTTTCTTCCCTGCCATAGTTACCAATTTAAAAAGTATTATTTGATATTTATTAAATGCAAGCCACTATACCAAAGAAATATGAAAAAAATGATCTTTCTCCCCCCAAAGAGTACAAAGGACTAATGTGAAAGAAAGGATGTACCAAAACAATTTAAAAACAGTGTGATTCCTGCTATGATGGAGTCATGCTCAAGATGCAACGAAAGTACTCAAGAAGCCCCTACAAATATGATCAGGTCAATCAATAAGACTTTGAAGATCATAGAAAGACATGAGTATTGAAATGTGAGGGGGAATTTGCACAAAAGTTAAATCAGGAGAGGGCAATGCAGAAACTCCTTATGTGTAGTTAGAAGGGGAAGATGACAGACATGGTCACTTATACTTGAGGATTACTGTAGTCTAAATTGTTAGAGCACCATGGTGTAGAGGGATGGGTGCTGACAAATGAGGCTGAATGGTTAGTCCCCAGAAAGCCATCAGAATATAAGCAGTGGCTAAGTCCATGAGAGTTCCATACAGCTCCAAGAATCAGCTTAAATTCATCAGGTTTCCATCACCCAAATACTTCTCTTACCAGCGATAATTACGATTTCCATAGGTACACTGGATGTCTTCCCAGGACACCTAGAAGTACATAAACAGAAGTCAGCACCTGGCTGACCATTTACTAAATATCCACAGAATATAGGATGCTGCAATTTGCCCTCTTTCACTCCTCTAGACAAACCCACCCTAGTAACTCCCAAGAGCTGGAGCATCTAATTATAGTATGTCACGCATAATAGTCTTTTTTAATAGCCTCATTCCTCCGCTTGAACTTGGTCATGCTTTCCCCAGAGTTATATACACATGTATGTATATATCTTACATATCTGTAACCCTTCTTGCTTTACAGAAGTTTCCCACAGAGCAAGGAGCCACAGAGCAAGGAGTCCACAGCACCAGAAACCTGGACATTGAGGTAATGGCCTCTTACAGAGATTTACAAAGCTATAAACCAGATAGGGATTTCATGCAGAATAGGGATTTGAAGTCATAACCCACCTCATACACAAAGGACAATACCATACTTTGTCTTTGCCTTGAGGATCCAGGTAGATCCTCAGAACTTATTACAGGTGGCTAATTCAGGGTAAGAGGCAATTTGGGGTGTTGTTTCTCACCCAAGAAACATGGGAGTCGTTGAAGCAAAACCATCTTCCATCCACAGAATTCCGGATATAGGCACAGTAATGACCCAAGTCAGCAATCCCCACATGGGCAATCACAGCAAAGAGTTCAAACTGTCCTTCAGACTGAAAGAAGACAAAGCATAAAATGATTCACCCCCTCTTTTTCTAAACTCAGACTTGAAAAAGGAAATATTAAGTCATCACATATTTATTCACTACCTGCTCTTTGTCAGGCACTGGTACTTCAAAGATAATAGGAAAAAGTCCTTGACCTCAAAAATCTCATGGCTAATGGAAGAACAAGTATATAAACCAGAACTATAATGACATGTTTTATTTTTTAAAAAAGTATATTTACAGGTAACTTTGGAAGAATCATTTTTTGTCCCCCAAAAAGAAGAAGGAATGAACACCTAAGGAAGGGCTAAGGGGCTAGGGAAAGCTTACCAGTGCAGAACTGTTTTAACTGACCTTAAAGGATGGATAAGATCAGCAGGCAAGTTATAGGAAGGCAGTATTTTTAAGGCAAACCCAGAAACTTCAAAGATTCAGCAACTTAATAGAGCAAAGAATATTAAGAAAATGGATAATCTTCACAGACCAAGTTGGGAATTAGAACTTTAGCCTCTCATCCCAGGTACTCAATCTCAAATTCAAGGCCACCCTGGAAAATTAGTGAGACCCTGTCTCAAAATTTAAAAAAGAAAAGAATTAGAACTTTATCCCATGAATGAGGGAAAACATTCAAACAATTTTAAGGAAAGAAACAACATCATCAGATTTATTTTTGAGAAAAACCACTGGAACAATGTACTTTTAAAAAATAAATGGAAAGTTCAAGTGTGATAGGAAGTCAATGAGATAAATTAAAATACTACAATACAGTGAGGAACAAATGGTATAACCTGAATGATTACTATCAGTGTTAGTCATTAAAGTGATAATAATCATTATTATTAGCTAACTTTTGGCATTTAGTATGCAGTTGGTTTTTATATAAATTATTTCATTTAATAAACAACACTCTGAGGTGGGTATTAGTAATGCTCTATCTAACAGAAGTACAATCTGAGCTCTGGAAAAAAAGATAATTTAACCAAGGCCAAAACAAATGAAAGAGGTAGGCTGAAACCCAGTTCATACTCTGAAGAATGTAAGAGTAAAGGTAGAAATGAAGGGACAGATTTGTACAAAATTAGGCAGAAATAATTAAAGGTGCTTTGTAACTGATTGAATTAGGTAGGGGCTTGGGGGGCATTACATGGATGAATCCCAGATTTCTGGCTTGGTAATTCGGTAGATGTTGATACTATAAAGTCAACATGAAACAGTACTGTTTGAAATTAAGGACAATGAATTTGGAGACTGTGAGAATATTAAATTGGAAGGTAAAAACTCAGGTGTGGAGACCAAGAAAAAAACTCAACAGAAGATATGGACTCAGAAACCTTCAGTTTGAGACAATTATTGAATCCATTAGAATTTCTGAGATGATCTTCAAAAAATTTAGAGAAGAAGGAATAGAACTAAACCTAAGTTTCAACTAAACTGATATGCAGAAAATGATCTAGCAATGGAAAAAGAAACCCTATGCGAGAAACTTAGGGTAAGTTGATGTTTTTAAGTATCAATAACATGGAATATCACAGAAATATTTAGGGGAAAAGCCCAAAAGCATTCATTAGACATTGCAGTAAATCATTCTACTCCCTCAAAATCTTAGAAAATCAAAAAAGAGATAATTCTCTTTGAAAAAGGAATACTGATAAGAGAGAGTTTTGATTGATTATAAGCAAGATCTCCACGTTAGTCAATGTGTCAACAATTCTTCTCTCTAAAAAAGTCAAACTCAACAGAAGCAGAGAGCAGAATAGTGGTTACCAGGGGCTAGGGTAGAGGGGAATGGTAAGAGGTTGGCCAAGAAATACTAAGTTTCCATTATGGGGCAGAAGTTCTGGAAATCTCTGTACAGTACAGTAACTATAATAACTATAATTAACAGTAACATATTAGAAACTGCAATTTTACTTTAAAAAATAGATTTTAGGCTGGGTATGGTAGCACACACCTATAATCCCAGCTACTTGAGAGGCTAAGACAGGAAGATCACATGTTCAATGCCAGCCTGGGCAACTTATCAAGACCCTGACTGAAAAATAACATAAAAAGGCCTGGGGATGCAGCTGAGAAGTAGAATGCTTCTGGGTTAAATCCCCAGTACCACACAAAAATTAAAAAATAGATTATAAATGTTTTTACCACAAAAAATATATATACATATGGTAATGAAGATGCTAATTAGTTTAACCCAATCATTCATTCCACAATGTATACGTATATCAAAGCATCATGTTGTACACCAAAAGCATACATTTTTGATATTTTAGATCAATTAACCAATTCAAATATTTCTAAAATTTTATCAACAATGAGTGTAGTTGATGCACTTGTTCTATGTAATATGAATTTATTTTATTAAAATTAAAATAGCATGTAAAAAGTAAAAATCAATTACTAATTTAGACTTTTTAAAAATAAATAAAATTGCATTTTCTGTAAAGTACTTTTTAAAAAAGGAACACTTCATTCTAATTTCTCCACATTCATACAAACACCCCTAACCTGAGACTTTGGAAATGAAATGGAAGAAGGGGATAGGGTGTGAGGCAGAGCAAGTGAAGTTAATTCACTCAAAATGGAGGGCCCCACTTACTCAATACTTCTTTTACTTAAGGGCTCTATATTGAACTTTTTTTGAAATGCAGAACAATACCTGGATTTGATGATCAGTTTACAAGAAATAGCAGAGTTTAGAGGAATATGTTAAATGACACCAACCAGCCAATTATGGAATATAAAAAATTCAACAAAATAAATTACAAGAAAAAAAAATTGGTGAGTAAAACCTAAAATAAATTTAGCAGGAAGGAAGAGAAGGAGGAGGGAAAGGGAAGCCAAACGCAAACATGGACCTCGTTTGGATCTAGATTCAAACAAACCACACAAATTAAAGAAGAAATCTGAACACTGGCTAGATATTTGAAAATGTTAAGGAATTATAAGTTACAATTAGCTATATTTAGAAAAAGAGTGTTTATTCTTTAGAGAGACATAACGAAATATTCATAAAATTCAGCACATGATGTCTGGGATTTGCTTTAAAATATTGCTTAAAAAATAAGTGTGTCTTGAATCTAGTTAAGGGTGGGATAAAAGAAGAGTATGAAGGTGGAGATAGATCAAGATTGACCACTAGTTTCGGGAACTGCTAAGCTCTTTGATGGATACATGTGAATTCATTGTGCATTGGTATGTATCTGAAATTTTTAATAACAAAGTCTTTTTTAAGCAGAAGAAATTTTAAATATAATTCACCAGGCAAGACTAGGTAGGGAGAAATAAGAAAAACTGGAAAGAGAGAAAAGAAGAATCCTATGAGGTCCTGATAAACTGAATATTGTTGTAACATATTATCAGTCCTTAATTTATTTTTCATTACTGGGAATTGAACCCAAGGGCCCTTTTGAGACAATATCTCAAAGTCGCCCAGTCTGGCCTCAAACTTGGGATGCTCCTGCCTCAACCTTTTGAGTAGCTGAATTATGGGTATGGGCCACAGCACCTGACTTAAGGTTTTACTTAACTTTTTAAATAGCATGGTTCTGAGCATAAATAGACAAACAGAAAATGTAAAAGAAACAATGTTCTAAAAACTGACCCATATATATATGGAAATGCAAAATTTGTTAAATGTAGTATTTCAAACCTATGAACAAAGGATATTTATGTCATTTTTTCCTCAGCATCTCCCAATAAATTAATATAATGTCCATAAATGAATATAATGTCATATCATGAAAACTAAATAAAACTTTCCTTTGATTAAATCTGGCCCAATCAACTTACTACTTTCTTATTACCTTCAAAGTAGGCCTTGGCTATTTTAATAATAAAGTTGTACTTATGCATTTATACCTATTCTGTGTTATTTTTTTCAAAATAACATTATTTTTGCCAAATAATGCAAATTTTATAAGAGAATATGACAAATAAAAACTAGAAATCAAGCACCATTCAAGCATACACAAATGTCTACAGAGCCATAAATGAAATCAAGTTTTTTTAAAGTATGAAATCTGACCATTTGTGATGCAGGGGTCAGAATAGAACCGTGTGGCTCATCAATGCATGCTTTTTAAAATTAAAAGTGAAGAACTGAATTATGAGTTCCTTCCCTCAATCCTTCAAGGCCTTTAAGTACAGACCCAATGTTTAGAAATAAGAAAGTTTTTTGAATCTTAAGAGAAAATTAAAGTCATAATCAACAGCAAAGTCTGGTAATAAGAGTGAGGTGATAAAATGTGCCATTGTTCCATAAGACCACATTTAAATATTGTTTAAAAATAAGTGTGTCTTGAATCTATGAATGCTTCCATGAATCACACCAAGCTATGATTGGGTTTTCCTCCCTTTGAACATCCCAACATGGCAGTAGAGGACAAGATTTCTCAGATAGGGAATGGGGATGTGGCTCAAGGGGTAACGCGCTTGCCTGGCATGCACGGGGCACTGGGTTCCATCCTCAGCACCAGATAAAATAAAGATGTGTGTCCACTGAAAACTGAAAAATAAATATTTTTAAAAATCTTTCTCTCTCTCTCTCTCTCTCTCTCTCTCTCTCTCTCTCTCTCTCTCTCTCTCTCTCTCTCTAAAAAAAAAGATTTCTCAGATAAAAGAATGACACAGAGGAAGCAGACCTCACTAACTGAGCTGCTCCCATTCACCTTGCCGGTATTTGCCCAGCATGATGCTGCTTGACTCCACCATCACAGTCTGGAACCTGACATCACTCTACCACACAGACTGCATCACTGATGTGGTCTACAGAACTTCTGAGCAGGCGACTTCTAGCAGCTGAGGGGTCCAGGAAGGCAGAATCTTAAGGCTGTGGTGCCTGATAAGATTGATGTATAATGGGAAAGAACATCTCACCTGTTCCTTGGCATCACCGAGAACTTGCTCATTTGAAAGAACCTGATTGAAATCTAAACTCTGGGGGAAATACAGTGAGTGGCAGATCTTTTCTGTCCGTGAATTCTTGATGGAGAATCGCATGAGGTGGATGGTCAAGGTCTGGGGCAAATGGGTCAGCTTCAAGTCCTAAAAAAGCAAAATCACTGTGGAGTGAAGTCCTAAAGCACTTGAAATGGAAAGACAGAAAAATATCAGAGCTAGTAGAATGTTCTTCTCCAAAAGAGGAATTCAGCATGATCTAACATAGAGTTAAGGGCTCCATTTCACTGAATCTGTTGGGTTCCTCCAAGAGTCATGTGACACTTGACAACCACACCATTGCACATCTTCCACAGAAGGCACCAGCAGCCCCAGGATTCTGCAGAGGCTCCTGAAACTAGAGTAATGATGGAGTCTGCTCTAGAAAGCTAATCTATCTCATAGGGGAAAACTTAACCACTTCTTTCGAATCTTCTCTATTCTTTAAAAGGCTCTGTTTCTCTCAGTGAGAGACAAGCCACATCCACAGCTATGAAAATCAGAAGCCCTAAAACACCAGATACTAGCCTAATCCAAATTGCCTCCTCAACCAGCTTGAGGTACCCTTAGGGGTCTGGAAAGATGATATCAGGAAGTCCACTAGGGGCAAACTCAGACTAGTGAAGTAGCTGAATTAATAAGTACCTGTTTGCTATGTGTCCTCTTCCCACAGTCCTCACAGAAGCACTTGCTGGATAACACCCTGGGCTGGAAGAAACAGCGTAGGGCATCCTCCTGTCTCATCCAGAACAAGAAAAATGCAGTGTTGGTATTTACCATCTAGAGAACAATCCCCTATACCTCTATGGTAGGGATGCCAGGTTTATGTCCAGTTTTTTCCAAGCTCCCCTAAATGTCTGGCCCAGTGCAGTACATTAAGTAGAATCTCAAAAAGAATAAAGATTCCACTATTTGGAGAAATAAAATGGGAGGAGCACATTTAAGGAAACATTTTGAGTAAAGTGAAAGTAGGAGAGAAGTTTTTTATTAATTAATTTTAATTAATTAATTGATTGATTTTGCCAGTCAAAGGAGAACTTGAACAAAGCCACAGAAATGAAATACAAACCCAAAGATGGATAAAAGAAGCAACGAGGGATGGGCAACATTGGGGTTTTCAAATCCACCAAGAAAAGTTTCTCACCAGTGTTTGCAGGGGCTTTGAGTCCATATCAAAAAGACAAAGAGGGAGAGTGAGCATGCTACTGTTTCTGCTACTCTCCTTGGCACAGTCTAGACAAATCAAGGACTCCTTCATCCGGATCATGTACAAGGCCTGCAACCTATCTACCTGCAAGAGGAAGGAGGAAAGAAGTAAGTCAGGGAAAAAGCCCTAAACTATCTCAGGCCTATTACCAGAAGTTGGATCAAGAAGACAAAAGCTCCAGAAATGGTAGCCACTAAAGTTCATTGTCTTACATATAAAGGTGCAAAATAGTAATTATATTATGGAACTGTAAAAAGCATTGTATATGAATTAATTCTTTTTTTCCATCTTACATAAACATTTTTGAATGAGTTATATGAGTAGCATCCTAAACCTCTGAGTTCTCTTGTTCCAGGATCTTACCAAGTCCATATCAGTGATTTGGTCCTTAATTAGGTTCCAGACTGTGAGGTAAAGCTGAGCAGCATCATGCTGGACAAACACTAGCCAAAAAGAAGTAACATCACAATTAGAGAGATCCCTGGAGACTACTCATGCCCTTGTGCCCTAGCTACCAAGATGCCCATGAACATTCACCACTTCATCTTTTCCTAGCCTTCTCCCACTCCCAAAACAGCTAAGTTTGCACTACATTTTAGGTGCTCAAAAAATGAGAAGTAATTTATATATTGATTTTTGACAGATCCTCTAAAAACTTAAGCCATAGTCCCACCATTACATGACCCAAATTTCACTGTCCATCTCTACTGTCACCAGGGGACCCATCTAGATAGATCCAGTAATTCTCTCCTGTGTCTACCCAAAGCCAATGCTCTCACTGTACTCCTAAGGTCTTTCATTTCTCTGTCCCTTGATGTGTTTTCTTATTCAGTGCCCTAAAAACTGAGCACTATCCCCAATTCCTGTATCTGACCTAGGTTTTCCCATGGGTTCCTGGGAGGACAAGGAGGGAAAGGACCATCTTACAGTCAGATGATGATAGATAAGAGGAAGCAGGAATTAAGCAGTGAAGTCTATATCTGTTTTATAAGTAAAAGTAAGGTAGATATAACCAAATTTAATAGTATTGTTAGAAAGAAAACTAGAAAGTTAAAGACGATGAAAAACACACTGAGGGCTATTTCTGAAAAGGACAGAAAGTGCAAAAATGCAAAGATATTGCAAGAAAAGGTAGTTATTGTAAATTAGCTAAAATCTTACACCCAAACAACATTTTCTTTCCTTCATAATACTTATCACAACTTGTACTTAACATTTTTTAGTTTGTATTGGTTTTGGTTTGGGTTTGGGTCTGTCTTGACTCTAAACTGTGAGTTTCATGGAGGCAAAGACTCTTTCAGCCTTATTTCCTTATGCATAGAAACCTGGCACTATAGTATCTGGCACTCAATCAGTGAACATTACATATAAGTTGAAGAGATTGATTCCAATGCAGTGAATTCCAAACTCAAAAGAGAAACAATCTATTAGTAGGGTTAAATTGGTGCTTTCCAGGGAATAGTGTACCAAAGAATTATGTCCTACCACAGAGCTGACACTGGATGTAAAGGAAACTGGATCATGTTACCATTTAAAGACAATTTGCCATCATCTGGCCATCCTAGAACCAAGAATTCCCATTCATCTAAGAAATAGTCATTTGCCTGTCCCACAACATACTTAACATCGGCTAGGACAAGGCAGATGCCATAAAAAATTGCCATGAAAAAAACATACCAAAGAAAATTTCTGTCACCAAGAAACCTCTATTCTAATGGAGAACAGGTATCCAAATAATCATAATTCAAAGAAAAATTCCCTAAAAATTATTTCCTTCCTGTAGCCATGAAAGGCTAAAAGAAGGAAAAAAATACATCTGAAATGATAAAGTGAGGGCCTCCATAAACCTGTTCCACTGTAAAAGCAATGAAAATTCTGGCAAAAAAGAGAAAGCAAACTCAGGGCCGGGGTTGTAGTCCAGTGGCAGAGCGCTTGTGAGCATGTGTGAGGCACTGGGTTCCATTCTCAGCACCACATATAAATAAATTAATAAATAAAATAGAAGTCTATCAACAACTTTTATTATTATTATATTATATTATATATTATTATTATACTTAAGGAGAGAAGTTGAGTTTTTCCTCTAAATCTGAAACACAAATACTCACTTTTTTAAATAGAGAAAACTGACCCACTAGATGCATAAATTCCAACATATGAAAAAGAAAAGCGTGAAAAAACAAGGTAATATAATATCTCCAAAGGAACCTAATAACTCTCTAGCAACAAACCCTGAAGAAAAGAAAGTCATCAAATTACCTGACAAAGAATTCAAAAGAATGACTTTTAAGTAAACTTATTGAGATTCAAGAGAATACAGACAGACAAGTCAATGAAAAATACAATGAGAATTCATGACATAAATAAGAAATTTAGCAAAGACATAATAAAAAAGAACCATTCAGAAATTGTGGTGCTAAAAACTGAACAATATATATTTGAGATCCTTAACAGAAGAACTAGTCAGGCAGAAGAAACAATATCCAAGCTTGAACACAGGTCTTTGGGGGGAAAAAAAGAAATGAAATTAAAAAGAGCTAATTTTAAAGAACTAAAAAAGCCATTAAGGTCCACATGACACAATTAAATAAGCAAATATTCATACAGTGGGTGCTACAAGAGATGAGAAGAAGGGCTTGGGCTATGGCTTATTGTCAGAGTGCTTACCTGGCATATGTGAGGCACTGGGTTCAATCCTCAGTACCACGTACAAAAAAAAGCAAATAAAATAAAGTCATGCTGTCCATCTATAACTACAAAATTTTTTTTTAATTGAGAGATGAGAAGGAACCAGGCATGGTGGAGCACACCTATAATCCCAGTGACTTGGGAGGCTGAGGCAGGAGGATCACAAGTTCGAGGCTAACATCAGCAACTTAGTGAGACCCTAAGCTACTTAGTGAAATCCTGTATCAAAATAAACAAATACAAAGGGCTAGCCCAGCATGCATGAGGCACTGGGTTTGATCCTCAGCACCACATAAAAATAAAAATAAAGATATTATGTCCATCTAAAACTAAAAAATATTTTTTAAAGGGCTGGGGATGTGACTCAGTGGTTAAGCACCCTGGGTTTAATCCCTCGTAACCCCTCAAAAGAAAAGATAAGAAGGAAAAAGGCATAATAAATCTATTCAATGAAATAATCAATGAAAACATTCTAAATCTTGGGGACAGCTACAGATATTCAGGTCCAGGAAGCTTAAAAGAGTCCCAATAGATTTGATCTAAAAGATCCTCCATTGAACAGGAAAGAAATTTTGAACTAACAAAAAAATTGCCAATCTACATACTATCCCCAGCAGATATATCCTTCAGAAATGAAGAAGAAATAAAGAGTCTCCAGGACAAAAACTAAGGGAATTCATCACCAGGCTGACAAGAAATGCTTAAGGGAGTCTGGCAGAAGAGAAAGAATGATGACCACCATCACAAAACTGCACAAAAGTACAAAACTCAATGGTCAAGCAGGAACCAAAAGAAAAAGAGAAGAGAATCACACCCTACCAATATAGAAAAACCACCCATCAATAAGAATGGACAAGAAAGGAAGAAAGGAGCAAGAAATACACAAAACAATAAGAAAAATTTAACAAAGTCACAGAAATAGGTCTCAACTTATCAATAATAACCTTGAATGTAAATGGGTTAAATCTCTTAATTAAGATATGGACTGGATGAATGAATTTTAAAAAGTAAGGCTCAAATATATACCTTTACGAGAAAATCACTTAACGAGTAAAGATACACACATATTAAAAATTAAGGGACAGGAAAATATATAACATACAAACAGAAACCAAAACCAAGCAGAAGTAGCTAGCTTACATCAGAAAAAAAATAGACTAGGGCTGGGGATGTGGCTCAAGCGGTAGCGTGCTCGCCTGGCATGCGTGCGGCCTGGGTTCGATCCTCAGCACCACATACCAACAAAGATGTTGTGTC